TGTTTCTGAAGAAACCACAAAACATCATGAAGCAGATTCTGCCAATCGTAGCCATTTACCATACATCTAACCTTTGTAATAGAATCTAACCTATGTGTACATATGATCTATTGTTCTGAATGTCCAATTTAAATGAGTAACACGTGCAGGGCATCTCACAATCGGTAATTTTGCGGAATCAGGCTCAACCTCAAAAAGAAAATTCTTTTTCTGCCTTGACGAAGCTTCGATTATTCGATAACAATCGCGTACCGTGATTTGAAGCCTTTTCTACTCGGATTTGGGTCTCACCATAATGATATTGTGAAATGCAACTTGTTTTTATAAGGCACTTCTAGTTCGCCAGGCAGAGATAGCTCAAACATGAAAATTGCCATAAATAGAAAATACTACCAAGTCTATGCCAAGTTATATATTTTGCATTCCATGAAACTATAAACCATTTTCTTCATATTTTGATCACGTAACTGAATCCCGATTGTTAGCTTATAAAGATTGTTCAATTGTTTAATTATTAACTCTTAATAAACGAACATAATTGCTTATCTACTAAGTTTTCAAAAAATTGATTTTGCTCAAATCTTGCAAAATGCTTGCTTCATTTCTCCCTCAGAAGATAGTCTCAAAGATTCTCAATGGTAAATTTCAAGAAGACGGGACATCTAGTGGTCAACAACAAGGAACAATAGATTCTTTTGGTTCGGATGGCTGTTTCTGTGAACAGCACAGCGTGACTTGCTGTCGTCCTTAATGCTTCGCAAAGTCATTTTTCACGGAAGATTTTGGGAAGGTAATCGCTAACGCTGTGTTGTCTCAACACAGGCACCATCGCTGGACGGTTGTCACAAGGAATTCTTCATCAGAATTTGAATGGTTTGATGCCCCAATTCCTTGGTTCTTGGTCTCGAAGTAAATATTCCTGCCGATTTTAAGGACAGCAGAGACTTTGCACTCGAAGACCTCTGCGTCATGTGATGGTATTAAACAGGCTGTAAACAGCATACTGCAACTATTTGATGTTCGTAGGCTGAGCAACGTTGTTCTTAGGGCAGATTTTAGCAAACGCATGGCAAAATTGTATATTCTGAATACCGTACCATCGTCCTAATATTGTCAAAAGGAAATCTTCATAAGATTTTCGGAAACGTCTGTTCAACGTCATACTTTTTGTGTACTCTTTCAACGGTAAGGCATATGAAACTTTGCGTAACAGCGCCTTGTTTGTGCAAATTTATGGACAGTTTAGTTTCCTTCAACAGAG